TTCCGATACGTTAGGTGGCTATATTAATGTTACTATCGAACTGTCTACACATACACATCATAATAAATATGATTATGGTCATTTAAACAACTCTGATTCATTTACAGATATTTTTTTAAAAACATGTAAAAGAATTATGACGGTAATTTAAATTGTGAACATTTACATTGTTCAAATTTTTTATCTCGTTTGACGTAAAAATAACCGTAGATAATAAGTGACTAAAAATGTATTGAGGATGCATTTTCAATTTTTTAGTCTTCTTGACAAACTCGGAAATTGTATTCTAGAAATATATGTGTATTCAGTTTTCACCCTCATCATTATTCTCATTAGACTTAGACTTCATAATTGTAATAAATATTAAAATTTCGTGTTTATAAAATTAGTAAGATAAAAATTTCCATGTTATAGAGCTGGTGAATGGACACAGACAGTTATTCTAATCTCTAGGATATAAGGTTATAAGAAAGCTGTTTTGCAATGCAAAAATAATGTTTATTAATCATATATTTATCACTTTCCCTCTCTTCTGACGTCACTCGGAACGACTCTATTTTCGTCATTTACCATGATGACTTCCTGAACGTCGACTCTAGTTTCGCAAATTTCTTCATTTCAATTTAATTTCGCCGCTTTCGAGTGTACGGAGAGTGTTTCTACTTTTCTCTAACAATCCACTCATTAAGATGCCACTTATATTTCACACTTCGTTGCCTAAATGACTCTCTAAACTTGAAATTTTAATTTCTTTGTTATTATGTCAACTGTTTATAAAAGAATGGGACTGGGAAACAAAGTAAAGGACTTTTATACAATTAATTAAAACATAAAATAACAATAAAAAGGTTTTAATATTATTAACGTGTATTATTAGATACTAGTAGTCGCCCGCGACACGGTCCGTGCGGAATTAAAAGCAAACTTAATTAGTAGCCTATATGTTTTTACAGACTATGCTCTACATATCTAAATTCCAGCGAGATCCATGGAGCCGTTCAGGTGATACCTTGTAACAATCATCCATCCATCCAAACATTCGCATTTATAATATTAGTAAGATTAAAAGACCGTAAAAAACTTGTTTTAATTATATTTTAGCTTAAACATATGTTAATCCTTGTATCTCGTTAAAATATTAAACATTACTAGAAATAATAATTATTGAAATAAGATTATACGTAGGTTTAAAAAAAGCGATCTTTACAAATAAATAACAAAGCACTTAATAAAGCAGTTTTGATACTCATTAGATATTTAAGGATTAAAAATATTTTTTACCGTCATTGACGTCCATGATACCACTAACGGTCAGATTTAAAACACTCGTTTAACTAAACAGTGTTTAATTGAATTTTATGGAGTAATACATTATCATTTTATAACAACAATTTCAACAATTTTTTACAGTTGACGTGATTCTTTTAAATTATACTTCTATTACTTTTGACTTTATCTGCATGCTTTTCCTTTATAGATATCACTTATTAACTTGTATTTACTCGATTCCGACATGCATTGGATTTAGTAACAAAATTTTAAACCAAAATATGGATTAGACATAATCCAGGATACTCATTAAATGATTGTTTTCTAGGAACAGATTAAAAATGGAAAGATAAATGATATCATTAAAATACTTTATCTTGCTAAATATTAAATTAAGCCACAGAATTTTGATTTAGCTTGGATTAAAAATAATCACAAGACTATTTAAAATATATAAATTACAGTAATAAGTATTTAATTAAAAGGTACAAAATACTCGTCATATACATATTTTGATGCGGGAATGTAATATTAATAATGTGTAAATTAAAAACAAATCAAAGTTAACTCAGTGTAAATAAAACCAGTCAGTCAATAAAGCGTTAACAGTTAACTGGGTTAATCTTACAATATCCTTTGTTTATAGTTCGTACAAGCGTATTGCGTAGTATTGTCTCGTTAATGTTGAGGATTTTCTTCACTTGGGCATTGCCCGTTTTGACCTATACTAAGCCAAAAAAATATACTTTTTTTAGCCAACTTCAAAAACAAGGAGGTTATCGATTCGTTTTTATGTATGTTACCGCGTAACTCCGCACCTCGTGCACCGATTTTGATTTTCTTTGATGGTAAGGTTTTGCTTGGAGGTCCCATTTTTGCATTAAAATTCGCCTGTTATTTTATCCGTCTTAGACTGTCATCCAAAGTTTACTAGTTAAACGTACGCATTGTGTGTTACACGACTAAAAATTAAAGTAAAAATTCTCAATTTAAAACATTGATAAGATAAACAGGATGTTCAATTGATGGTCATGATTAAGTACCATAGTATTATATTGGACGGGTTCATAACAACGGAAATGTTAAATTATTGCCGCTGTTCAGTGACCACTTCGAAATGTTCTAGGACTCTAGTAATAGTCTAGAAATATACTCAAATTATTGTTTATCTGTGTGCCTGCAACTCAACAATTTTTCAACATTCTCCATAAAATCTTATTTCAAATTTGTTTTTTTTTATTAAAATGTGTTTATTCAAACATACTGTGTACTCTAAAGGCTGTTACAAAATGTGTAACATACCACAACGATGTAATAAGGATTTAAGATTTTGTCGATGGCAACACAGGACAATACCTCACGCACACACAGATATGACAATGGCTATGTTGCTTATGGTATGACTTCCGTGTGGTAGTGTTTAACGCTTCACTCTTATTCTGCAACCGAATCTACAAGGAAATAATACCATAGGTGTAAAATTCTATGTTCGTACGAACGTGAGTACTGAATCTCTATTATTTTGTTTTAGATGTAATTTATAAAGAAATAGTGACCTACTAACGCTATAGTTGACTATTGCATACAAAATCTTCATTTAGTATTGACGTCATTAGTTTTTGAATAAATTTCAAGGTTGACTAATATTGATAAAGAAACTATTGTTCTAGGAATTTATATTTACATGTTTTTAGTTGATATGGGCATGTAGTTTCGCAAGATAACACGCATGCTTTGTAGGTGTGAAAACATATCAAAACATCTAACACATATTATTCTTGTAGTTTCTAATCTAACACGATAAGTTGTGATTAATATCAGACAATTGACGCCAATAAAAATGTATCGGAAAATATAGTTTTGTTATTGTCGTTGTTTGTATGAATTCCGTAATCATGTAATTGTATGAAAATTACATTTATTGTATCCAAAAATTAGGTACACATTTTTTTAAACAGAAGGGGGCAAACGAGCAGCGGGAACACCGAGGTGTTCAACAACGCCCATTGACATCAGCAATACCAGAGGAACCGCAGATGCGTTGCCGGCCTTTGAGATAGTGATAAGCTCGCTTCTTGAAGGACCCTAAGTCGTAGCGGTTTGGAAATACCACCGAAGACAGACCATTCCACAACGCTGCTGTGCGAGGCAGGAAGTTTCGCGCAAACCGCACGGTCATGGATTGCTAGCCATCGAGATGGTGTGGATGGAACCTGGCGGTCTGTCGTGTCTACAATGCGCCATATATTGAGTTTTTTTGTAATTTTTTGACACTATGTATAAGTTTCCAACAGAGATAGCTATTTTTAGTACGTTTTTGTCCATTTAGTAAAAAAAAATACTCAATTAAGCTTCCGATATTTACACGTTGTAGTTAATTACAAAAAGTTTCTTCAGTAACAAACGAGTATATTTTAATGGTTGGAGGGCCAACATTCCATAAACATCTAAGCGTAGTCCCAATATGGAAGGGAAACGCAGATGTAACGCCACCCCTAAGGGCTAGCTTCACATACCTTGAGACCAGTTAACGAATACCCGTTACGAAATAGAAGAAATAACTTGTAATCTGTTCAAAAAAATTATAATTAATTCAAAACTTTGTTTAAAAATCTTAAATGAGATGCTTCTTTTTTGACAGGGTTGTTACTCTGCAAATCTACGCATCGTCTAATACAAACGTGTCATGTCACATGTCAAACAAGGCAAGCAATTTAAGATTAATCGCCGTAATCCGTCCCTAAGTATGGATTTAGTGTGAACAATCTCCACTATGTGTCAGCGTCAGTAAGTATGGCAGTAGATTAGCTGCATGAAAAGAAAATAGGTTTGTCTTTTTGTTTATTTTTAAATTACAATTGTGCTCTTAATAATAGCAGTCTGAACCTACCTACCTACAAAGCTATTGTGCTGGCCTTTTGCGAGTGTTGTTTCCGGTGATAGTAAGGGTCAGTGCCTGTACCTAAGTTACATATTGTAGGGACAAATACCTTATGAAGAAAAGATAAAAGCGTATTCAATTGAAGATATTTATGTCATATAGTGGCAATAGATTTATTTTCAGCAAATATTTTTTTTTATCGTGACGTAAGGCTTTGATTTACCCATGATCGAAACGAGCTCTTTTGGGTTAAAAGCGACTTCATGGGGATGCTTTTTACAAACTTATGTAATACCAAACCCCATTTTATCTCGATCTCCGAGATATATTGCTTAAGAAATCTTTCCAAGGTTTGATTATTATGTGGTACGGCTAGTATGGTATAAATACTGAAGATCATATTACAATTCTTATATGCATTTTATTGTTAACTTATACATATACCTGTAATTACAAAATCAATTATAAATAGTAACGAATACACGAATAAAATTATTATCCTTGTACGTTTCCTCTACCTACAAATGTGAAGTTAATTTAACATTTAAAATTACACAAGATTTTGTTAAAAATATTCTCATGAAAATGTCTCCATTGTAATCGCAAATGCACCGTGTAGGCAAGGCAACCCCTCGCCCAACGTTCGACGTTGAATACTCCCGTCAGTATTATTTCCCCACACCCAAACGACAGCCCTTCGCCGTAGATTCGTGGGATAATTAAATATTTATATCATCACAGACGCCACTAATAACCTCAGAGTTAATTAAAATGCATTTTTATTTATAGAAATTTTACTAATAACCGAGGAAATTATAAGTACAAATTCAATGGTATATTTTAAACTTACCTGTTTATTTATTTAGATACTAAGCAGTTTGACTCATTCCATTGAAATATCCGATGATGAATTATAAACACGATCACGAAAGTTTAGAAAAGGAACCACGACGATATGCACACTTAAAAACCGTTAACGTTTAACCGTCGAACAATAGACACACTACCGAATAAAAATAATATTCGGACACACTGGCCACAAACACCTATTAATTGTATTCGCAGGACAATGTAGCGCACGGAAAGAGGATAACACTTCAATACAAATTGGTTATAAAAAGCTCGAACTCGAAAAGCTTAGATAGCGAGTTACATACAGCCGTCCACTTCAGCGGCTAAACGGAGACTGCAATAAAAGGGGCTTCGAGCGGGGATTGTAGCGGGGTGGGGAGGGCCAGCGGGGGACGGGACGCAGCATGGGCGCTCCGAGTGTTCACAGGCGTCGAACCAGCCTTGTGTGACTCTGATATGATAACGATTGTATACAAAGTTGGTGATAGCCCTCACGGAAAGATGAACGCCCTTAAATTTCGTAAACGTAACGCCATATCAAAAAATAAACAAAACCACAATATTTGTTTTATAGTACATAGTTAACTGGGAATGAGACTATCACTTTTGTTGATGAGATAAACAATCCTAAATGTATCTTTTCACCATTTTTCTCAGGATGACAACTTGCGTTGTACGCAATATGCCAATATGTTTTTGTCTATCGGATAAATCTTAAGTTAATTTCAATGGACAATTAATTATGTAAAAATAATTAAATTTACATCACTATTTACCTGTAAATCCACTATATTGTAGTATAAAATTTATATAACGGTATAAATATGTTCAGAAAACGTGTACAATGCGCTTACTAAATAGACGACTGAACAATTTTTAAGACCAATCCAATAATGTCAAATTATGATTAGAAAGCAAATAAAACGATTTTTATCATTTTATTTATATTTAACTTAGGAATGTTTACAAGCTATCGTATATTACTAACACAAGAAAGGTAGATGCAGTTTTATAAAATGACAATGTTTTATTTGTAAAAAAGGTTTTATATCAATTGAATATTCTGGCGGGGTACTGGCCGTTGAAATTTTTTTTTAAATAGCAGCCAACCGTTAGTTATAAAGTATCCGATAAGAGCGGAGAGCGAACGCTATCTTGGGGACGGATGTTGAAAAATTTGATCGCCCTTCGAGCCTCGGGCTCGTGCCAAAGCAAACAAAAACATTGAACGACAGTTTCGTTACGCTTTACGTAATTAAGTGGCATATGTTCGTCGTTCAAACGTCTCACAAATGTTACGACAATGATTTGTTTGAAGATGGAAAAACGTTTTTAGAATTGTATTACTAAAATGGAACTCGGCAGCGACTGTGCGTGACTTAGTAATGATACTAGACTTTGGACACGTACATTCTAATGCAGTGAGCAAGGAGATGTTTCTTGTCAGGAGCCGGAAACGTATATATAAAATACTAGCAGTTGTCTGCGACTTCGTCCGCGCGGAATTTAAAAAGCTAGTAATAATTATAGTCTATGTCACCCGGGGATACTGAAGCTTCCCAACAGTGATAGAATTTTTCAAATTGATTCAGTAGTTATTTTACTATAATATTAATGTAGATAATTTTGTGGGTCCCAACGTGTTTTTCCAATATTTTCTTATGTACTTTAAGTAAATATGAGTTCAAGAAAATGTTAAAAACTGCTAATGTAAATGTAAACAGTGTTGAGAAAACTTTTATATTTTTATAGCCTACATTTATAATTACAAGACCTAAGCTTGAGGTATTTTTTATAATGTCAACAGGTTATATAAAATTACTACTAGTACTGGCAACTCGTAAGAACGCGGTAAAATAATTAAAAATGTTATGGGTAAAGATGTTAACACTGTTATTCAGATTTTATGTGAATTATTACGATTTTTTACATATAACTCTCAGGGTTTTTAGTCTACATAAATAACTCTTTTTGACAAAATATGCATTTAACCACAGGTATAAAAAGAAAACGTTTTTTCGTAATTGTCTGATTTTTTCAAGACATAATTCCCTTTGAAATATTGTTTTACTTGAGTCATAGAGTATTATAAAAATGAATATTATTCCATATAACAGCGACCTGATTACGAGCTACATATTATCTTGAAATAAACTGTATCGAAGCTTTCTGTAGTTAGCGATCCAGTTAAACGGTTATTTTTAAACGATACACTCATTTAGTTAAAAACAACTGGAGTGCGCTCTCCTGCAAACATTTTGTTGCCGCGTTAAATATAAACCAACTCCATACCCTAGTTAACAATCTTACGAAAATATTTTCAATAATTCCTTCTTTTAATATTAAATTCTTGTCTATTTAAAAGTCGCAATGCTAAACAGAATTATCCAAGTAAATAAACGCATAACGTAGTGATTTCTATCGATAAAGTTCATACCTAGGTGGAAGTATTATTTATCTTTTGATATTTTATATATGACAGTATGGTACTTTCTAGTAAATCAATTTGTATATTATTAACGAGATAACTTGTTTAAACAAGATTTTGTGTTAAATTTCAACAAAACTTGTCCGACAATTCCTTGTGTGTAGCTACAACTAGACATAAGAATAGAAAAAAGTTGATTTGACCTCTTTATTGAGTTTACTATTTGGTTAAATGAATAGCAAATCTATCTAAAGTTTTGTTTTAACACACTTTTTGATGCCCGTGACAGTCAATAATAAATCTTCACAACACAAATGCTTGTATATAAACAGTCTAAAAGTCTGAACGAGACAAATTAAAACTGACTCACGAGAGATGCGTGGACCAGTTACTTTCGCCCGTTCTAATGAACGCCCCGTGATTCATAAAACTGACTCGTAAAATCAGAGTCCAATGACCATGTTAAATTACTTCCTACTCATGTAAATAACGATTGATTAAGTCGATATTTTAAATAATTACACATCCATTCTCCGTCCATTATGGATTCCCAAATAAATCGTTGATATTGAGTGAACAATGAACATAAATCATTCGACATTGAGTCACAGTCATTATGGAGTTAGCGAGTGGGACACAGATGGGTTGAGACCGAAAATACAATAAATTATTTAGTTCGGTATGCTTAATTCAATGGTGGAAACTAAAGATTACATATTCTTTAGACTTAACTATTATCTATAAAATGATTATGCCTATATTTCTTTAGGGAAACGATTATTTAAGAAACTTATATTAAAGCTAAGAATTGAAGATCTAAATTCGCGTAATTTATGTTTTGACATTTATCAGAATGTTCCACAGATTGTTGAAACAATAAAAACGCTGAGACATTGTGTAGCAAACGTGCCGATCTCCGAATGCACTAGTTGTATTTTCAGGCGACAGTCGGTAAGCAAACATTAGGGTGATTTATTGGCAATCGGCATGTGTGGTAGACTCCCCATCCCCTTTGACAATGCCCGACGCAACGTCATCTTTCTTACACACTGATTTATTTTAACGAACGTTGTTATGACTACATTTGAAGTAACACAGTTTCTTAACACGTTCCATGCCACTTAAATATTTATTTTAATGAAAATTACCTTGCGGGGCTAGTCGGTGATACTGAATGTATTGAAATTTTTTGTTTCTTTCTTAACCTTGAAGAGGCTCCGAAACTACTGAACCCATTTCCAAAAATTCTTTCACTGTTGAAAAGCTGCACTATCCCTGGATGACACAGCCTCTATTTATTAGTAGATTTTTTAATTCTGCGCGGTCGAAGTCGCGGACAACTGCTAGTTTTTAATAGAATAAGCGTCTTATGTATTGTGTCTTTTATCCATGCACAAAAAGTTATCCAAAACGAATTACTAATGCCATTTACGGCCATATTAATGGCTATGACTTAATATAACTTTAGTAAAATAATTGTGATGACTTCATATTTGAATATAAGGAAGATCCACGCGGGTCAACAACCGCGATTATGTAAAATAGATTCAAGCTACGCCCATTGCAAATTCGACTTATCAAAACCCTAATAAGCTATATGTGACAAAGAGAAATCATTTATCAACTATCCAAATATCAAGTATCTTGTACCTTTACATCATTGAGTAAATTAATAAATTGTTAAGGCAACTGAAAATTTCGCTTTAATTCGCGCGATTGCTTTTATGCTAAACACCGCAAACGTTAATTAAAACCACAATGTATGTTGTGGACATACCCTACTTAATTCGGAAACGTCGAATCGCACAAATATAATGTAAAAACAATGCGAATTCCAGTTTATCGTATATCATTTTGTTGGGTAAAATTACTATTTCACCTAAAGTAATTTTAATGACAAATCAAAACATGAATTGAATGTAATTTAATATCAAAACGTTTTAAAAACCATTCAGTATTCTTACACTAGTTCGTGGGGACTTCATTTACTTAAAACAGTTTTCTAACACCCAGGGAAATAAATGATTAACATAACTTAATTAGACGGCATCCAAAGAAGCCGTGAAACCCAAATCTGTAATAAACTAACGTGTAAAAACATGTAATGTTTACCGTGGGATTCTGAGTCTAAAATCTCTGTATAAAACATATCCTCATCCATGTCATTAACTTTAACAATACAAAGATAACAATTAATTTAAATGGAGATTTTCGACTCAGAAACCCACGGTTAACAATGTACTCGTTTATGATTCGTTTTTTTAAGCTTTCTGTATTGACTTTTGTCCTTATGCCAATGCCGTCTTGGATGGGATTGATTCTAATAATCACATAGGATCGTAAAACGCTAAAATTGTCTCTCACAATTGCAATTGTGACAAAACATTTCAGTAGTTAATAGAACTTGAAACATTTACAATTTAATATTGCATAAATATGAAATCATATTTGCATGTAAATTCTTCGTAACAATCGTTAAATAATAAAATTTCACGAATAACAATTTAGACATATTTCGATAGTTAACCTTGACTATAATAGTAGTCGTAAACTATTATACCTACGTGTCGGAGTAAGATAATAACAGTTTATGTTAGATATAAAAACAGCACGTGCTCATAGGGTCTTCGTTTAATGTCTTAACAAATGGACGCGGTGGAGCGAAAACACAACAGATGCGAAGCGAATGCACTCCAACTGTTGGTAAGCTGCAACAAGTTCAATAGCAAAAAGTAATTCAATAAATAATATTTATTTAAGCATAACATATGCTTGCGTTTGAGGACAGTAATCTATAACGTCCATGTTCGATAATTCCCATTTACTGTTAGGAAGAAAATCCGACACTGTGCCGGTGTACTGGCACAGCACTAGCCTTACTAACATTTATG